TATGGAATAGCATATCAGGTAAAAAGCCTCCACAGCTTTGCTGGCACATGTGCACTCTTGTTATTGCCCGAGCAGCCACATTTTCGAAGAAGAATGATCCAACGATGCCTCCAGCCCAAAATCTGCACCAAACAGTGACACGTTGTGGATGCATTTGTTTCTCAACAATCACTCATGGATATTATGAACCCCAAATGCAACAATTTTTTCGGTTAACCAAGCCATCAAGATGAAAATGTGCTTCATCAAAATTCAGCCACGTTTATGCAAAACGGTCATGGAAAATTTCAAAAAAAAGAGTGCGTATGTGCCATCAAAGCTGTGGAGACCATTCACCCAATATGCTATTCCATACATAACGCTATACTATATAGTTTATGAATCAATAAAAAAGTTACAATTTTTGATTAGAATCCTGTGTTTTCTATAAAAATTACTTCTTGCATGAATTTTGGGACACCCTTTAGATATAGATAGATATAGATATATACCATGACTTTTAAAAGTTGAATTTTAATAACAAGGAAATACTCAAATCACATTCTTTAATCCTAGATCAAAGTTTAAGCTTTTTAAATTAATTGGGGAAACACATCAACACAACTTAAATGTCAATTAGATGGTACTTCAATTTACTTACTATCTATATGTTTAAAAGCCTAAGTGACCATAGATAGATATAGATATATACCATGACTTTTAAAAGTTGAATTTTAATAACAAGGAAATACTCAAACCACATTCTTTAATCCTAGATCAAAGTTTAAGCTTTTTAAATTAATTGGGGAAACACATCAACACAACTTAAATGTCAATTAGATGGTACTTTTATTTACTTACTATCTATATGTATAAAAGCCTAAGTGACCGAATGACTGGAATGACGGGAATGACCAGAATGACCTGTCGACCAGTCCCTATAATGCACACTGACCTCAATGCAGGAGCTGCCCCCTGGTGATCAGCACACTCCCACAGCCAAAATGACCTCAATGCAGGAGCTGCCCCCTGGTGATCAGCACGCTCCCACAGCCAAAATCCCACGGCTGGCCAACTTCCTGCGGGCGGCCCCTCCCCTAGTAGCCCATTGGCCAACCTCCCGCAGCCCCTCCCCCTGGCTGGCCTGGCATGATGGATCCCTATTGCTGGCCAGGCCAAGGGGCCCCACCCATTTATGAATTCATGCACCGGGCCTCTAGTTAATAATATTAGAGCAGAGAAAAACACACCTTCTCTCTTACATGATATGAGATTAATTCAAGAAGAACAACAGTCATCATTGACATAATCCTTTCTTTTAAGATTGTAAAAATTATATCCCAGTATGGAAATCAATGGAAGATATCTAAAGAACACTTTCATAAATGTACAGTAGCTATTTTTATGTTAATTTAGTGAAAAAGTATTTATTAAATTGGGATTAGCACAATCTATGTCTAACAGATTGACAGAATTTAATAAATTTAATCTAGTATGATTATACACTTGTATCCCTATTTAAAATTCAAGATTGTGACATAAATGAGAACTTGCACTGATGTGCAATGAGCAAATTATAATGTCTGCTTAAATCAAGAAAAATGTAGGATAATTAAAAGTCTAATTTATTTTTAGAATGTCCAAGTGTGTAAATAAGGTTGAGGATACTGAATTATGACTTGGGACTCTCTATCCATTGATTACAGAAACAGCCCACATTGACTGATTAGGTAAATAATCAAACAGGGAATATGATACACTAGCTTTCTCAACTCTTAACAGCTTAGAGTGCACCAAATCACATAGGAAAGTTGCCACCATGAATGCAACTTTTAAGTCTTTAAAATCTCTTACCCTTTGGAAACTAATGATTTTTTCATCATTATAAAACATGACTCCCACAGGCTTTTAATCTTGGGGATGTATTTAATTTGGGGGACATAGTTACATGACTTTATAAACAACTTTGGTTTGTCTTAATTATGAGTTGAAGAATGAACATTACTACTTCAGGCAATTAACAATGAATAAAGATTTTTTGTAATTTTTTCCCACCCAAAAGAGAAGAATGTTCTTGAGGACATGTCTCTGTCTGCACTCATGGAGTCCTTCCAAGCGTCCTCCAGGCATGGAAATTCCTTAGGTCTTTCTAATACCTTTATGCACTTGATTGGAATCAGAAAATATTGGCAGATACTCTGAGTAGAAGTGCAGTAACATGAATGTTGCCCTTGCTTTGTTTTTCTCTTTAAAATGTAACTTTAAAAATCATGCTTTAGAAGGTTTATTATTTCTACTGTGCTGAATATTTTTAGTGGATAATACATCTAGCATTCCATATGCACACAGATGTCCCCTTCGTGTTACTTACAAATAGAATTCTCACCATTGTCCTTTCCAATTTTGTAAACTAACAGAGAAATTTAGGTTTACAATGAACCTTTTAACACATAATTCTTGATTGTTTTCTATTAACAATTCAATGATTTAAAAGAAAACCTTACTATCATCAACAAGTCAACAAACAACAAGCGTTGGTGAAGTTGTAGATAAAAACCATAGTACACTGCTGGTGGGAATGCAGACTGCTGCAGCACTATGGAAGACAGTATGGAGTTTCCTCAAAAAACTGAAAATGGAACTCCCAGTTGACCCTGTGATCCCCCTTCTAGGAATATATCACAAGAAACCGGAAACACCAATCAGAAAGGATATATGCACCCCTATGTTCATACCAGCACAATTCACCATAGATAAGATCTGGAAACAGCCTAAGTGAC